AAATAAAATTTGTCCAATTTAAATTTCAATTTTTTGAATTCAAAATTGGGTCCGTTTTTCTCCCACCCGAACAGAATTGAATCTGTTTAAAATTCATAAAACTCAGACCGATTTAAATCTGTGCAAAACATTTTTATCTGTTTGAATTTTGAACCCAACAGATTTAAATCTGTTTATTCAAAACCAAACAGGTTTCATACCTGTTCAAAACAAGCTTGCACATGTTTAATTCAAAACCTGTAGCCACCAATCCATCTATAAATAGGCAGCCCTCATTTGATGTTTTCGTTCAATAATTTCATCCTAAATATTGTCCGCCTTCTCTGCATTTTTGTTGCATTATTTTTCTTCTAAAAAAGAGTGTAAACACTTAGTGTGTTCGTTGTTCGAATAAATTGTAGTGCTACATTTATTCGTTGTTGATCATTTCATGGGCTTGGGCGCGGGTGCGTGGTGTAAGGTTGGGTTGGGCTTGTCCGACTCAATACTAATCTTTTTGAGCCAAAAAAATTTGAATTCAATTTTATTTTTTGGTAAAATAAAATTTGTCCAATTTAAATTTCAATTTTTTGAATTCAAAATTGGGTCCGTTTTTCTCCCACCCGAACAGAATTAAATCTGTTTAAAATTCAAAAAACTCAGACCGATTTAAATCTGTGCAAAACAGTTTTATCTGTTTGAATTTTGAACCCAACAGATTTAAATCTGTTTATTCAAAACCAGACAGGTTTCATACCTGTTCAAAACAAGCTTGCACATGTTTAATTCAAAACCTGTAGCCACCAATCCATCTATAAATAGGCAGCCCTCATTTGATGTTTTCATTCAATAATTTCATCCTAAATATTGTCCGCCTTCTCTGCATTTTTGTTGCATTATTTTCCTTCTAAAAAAGAGTGTAAACACTTAGTGTGTTCGTTGTTCGAATAAATTGTAGTGCTACATTTATTCGTTGTTGATCATTTCATCCTGGGAGATAGACGTCCATATTCTGAAAAGTACCGTGGAGAGGACGAATCTATCTTAAGGACACAGTGTCTAACACTGGACTTGATCAGAATATTATTCAAGAAATTAATCAAGTAAGTTAGTTATTTATTTTATGTTTTTATTTATTTTATTTTATTTGTCTGATTTGATTTTTGTAATCAAACAAATCCTCTCATTTCCTTTATTTCTTTTGTATTCTAGTTGTTGTTAAGTACACAACAGAATTCAATTTGTTTATATACAGTAAAGATTGTCAATCATGTCTTAGAATTAATTTTTTTTTTCTTTTTTGGACACTGACTTTGTCTTATTTTAATTTGACACTTAAACTTTTTGAAATCTTATCAATTTACCTTTCGCTATTTGATTCCGTCTACAATCAAATGTACTGAGATGAGATGGCACCAAACTTCATTTAGAATTCTAAATGTGATAATTTGAGACTTGAAGAGACAATTCTAAATGAGAATTTTAATATATTTTTTAAAAGTATATTATTTAAATTTAAAATTTTTCATTATTGAGATAAAAAATTATTTATTAAATATTTAAATTAATTTTTTTTTAATATTTGGGAGGCTAATTGATTTTTAAGATATAATTTTTGGGGTAAAATGAAGTTTCAAATGAAATTTGGTGCCACACTAGCACATCCCATTTAATTGTAGATAGAATCAGACTTTGGGGATAAATTGATGAAATTTTAAAAATCTAAGTATCAAATTAAAAAAAGATGAAATCTAAATGCCAAATTAATTTTCAAGTAATAATTTAAGGGACAAAATAATATTTTCTCATAAATATTAAAAAAAAAAAAATCACGTCTAAGCCTCTGTGAGGTAGATAGACCTTCCTTTGCCGTAGCAAATAATCATCCAGATAAAGTAATGCTATTGTGAAACAAAATATTGCGTAAATTACATTGACCACCTTTGAGGATTGAGTAAAATATAATAAGGGTTCGTTTGGCATTGGCTTTTTTGGCTAATTTTTTTTGTGTTGAGACTTTTTTAGTTTTGTTTGGCTTTTTTTAGGGGGGACTTTCTTGACTTTTATAAGAGAAAAAGTGTAATAATTATGGATAAAAAATAGTATTTTGTCTTATTGTCATTTGTAGTCAATTTTGTCTTTTTATGATTATTTAGCTCCAAAATGTTAGCCAAACCATGGCTAAGTCTCATGTATTTAGTATAATTATATTGAGTTTCTTTAAGATTTTAATTCATATAATAAGTGGCATCCTTTTTCATCAGACATTCGTTAGTCATATTGTTAGGTTTTTATTCTTAGCAATCGCATTTGACAAAACTCTTTTTAGTTGTACTTTTATTCACTCTTTTATTTTAGTGAGGTTATGAGTTTTTCATATGCGAATCCAACCCGAACTGCGCCTTGCAGAGAAGTTTGTGATGTTTATTCTTTCATGTTTGTCACTTCGCTGACTATGATGGGATCGAGCTGCCCGATCAGTTCGCGGAGGTCCAGGGGGTAGCGCCCCTTGGCGGGTCCGGGGCAGCACCACGACGGGGTTGAGGGGCAGCGCCCTCAAAGCAAAATGCAAAAATGTATTCAAAGTTGTCTGTCCGCTCGAGCAGTCGTTTGTGCGCTCGAGCGAAAACTCCTTGGTTCCAAAAGTTTGATCGCCTGTAAAAATACTGGCAATTGCATTTTTCCGCTCAAGCAGAAATTCCTGCGCTCGAGCGTCGGTCCGCTCGAGCGGCCATTCTGGCGCTCGAGCGGAGATTGCAAAACAAATTGCTATAAATATGTGATTCAGTTAGATTTTAGGGTTACGCTTCCAGATCTTTTTCTTGGATATTAGGGTTTATATCTTGGACTATTTTGCTAGTTTTCCTTGATATTTGATTGAGTATTCAACTCATGGTTTGAGAAATATACATCAAATGATTGTTTGTTTATTCAATACAAAAGAGAGAGTTGTTCTTCGGTGGATTCTGGGGAATTCGAGCCTGAAAATTTAGTGGATTCTGGAGTGGCTCATTGTCGTGGATTCGACATCGGTGTTGTGGATTCAACGTTGGGTAAGACAATTCTGAGGTGAAGACGGGGTTGAAAAAGGCACACTGGAGTCGATTTAATTCGGGTGTGGATTCGCTAGGTAATTGAGAGAACGCTTGTGTAATTCCTTTATATCTTCTTAGTGGATTGTTTTGTGACTTTTGTCCATGGTTTTTTATCACAATTGGAGGCGCTCCAATTGTGATTTTCCTACATAAAATCGTTGTGTCGATTTGTCTTGATTGTTTGATTGTGATTGTTGTTTACTGTTTAAAATTGATATTTAATCACAAATCAACATCTAGGGGATTTCTAGATTTTTCACATGTAACTAGAAAAATAATGTTGTTATCACTTTTACATTTAAATATATATTTTACTTTGTATATCTTTGTATGTTTATACAATTCAAATTAGTTTTGTTCTCTTTAACCTTACAAAAAGGAAAGTTAATGTTATTATGTTAAAATTATGGAGTTGGTCATTTTTTGGTCCCTCAGGTGAATGTGTTATCTCTTCTCGACAGCTTTGTTTATCAAGGACTAGTTAGAGCGGGATGAACAGAGTTAAGGTTAAGATTTGACTGTTTTGATAATTTAATTAAAAAATAAAATTATATTAAAAAAAATTAAAAATTAAAACATCTAACGAAACTTTTAAGGTAAATTTTGACTCACCCCCAATATGGTCCTAAACATTACAGAAAGAAAATTTAATATATTTGTTTATTGTCTGAGTCGAGGACTCATTGCATTGGGACATGATATATTTGTTTTAATTAATATCTGTTGTGCTTGGGTTCGGAAACAAACACCAATACACAATCAAAGGCAAAGAGATTTATGTAATTCTACAATACATCTACGTTCACATGGACAACGGATTTCACTATAATTAGAGAGAAATTACTACTCTCTTATGTTGTGTTTGATTGAGAGATTTAGGAAGAGATTTAAAAAGGGAAAGGAAAAGGAAAAAAGTGTGTAAAACTAGGTAAAATGTATGTATATTTTATTCATATTTCACCTATTTTTTTCATTTCTCTTTCTAAATCTCTCATCCAATCCCTCAACCAAACACAATATTATTGTATTTTCATTTTGATTTAAACTGTCTGCCTTTGTGAGAGACGAAGAAAATGTTCTGTGAAAAAAAATGAGAGAAATAATATTAAATAGTTGGGGTTAAATTTATCTTTTTATCACCTAATTGGAAGAAACAAATACCCAGTTTTTTTTTTTTATATCTCAAGATTGTATATTTTATTCATATTTCACCTATTTTTTTCATTTCTCTTTCTAAATCTCTCCTCAAATCCCTCAACCAAACACAATATTATTGTATTTTCATTTTGATTTAAACTGTCTGCCTTTGTGAGAGACGAAGAAAATGTTCTGTGAAAAAAAATGAGAAAAATAATATTAAATAGTTGGGGTTAAATTTATCTTTTTATCACCTAATTGGAAGAAACAAATACCCAGTTTTTTTTTTATATCTCAAGATAGGATAATCTCACATATATCTATGTCTTCATTTTTCAAACCAAACAAATGGACTAGTTAAGCTCTTGGATAAAGGGTCTAATCTCATGGCTTAATCACTCCAAACAAATACCTTTGTTTGGATAAATTGGATAAGATGGGATTACAATCCAATAGACAATTAGTCCTCGGATTATTTGTTGTTAGACTAATTAATTAAATATGATTTGTATCTTATATTTGTTTTAGGGAAAATCGGTCTAAGGTCCCTATCCAACTTTTAGTAATAGATTAGGTCCACAATCTATTCTTTTGTAGTCTAAGGTCCCTCACCCCATTCCCACTCCTAAACTCACCCATCTCACACCACTCTCACCACCACCACCACCACCGCCGCCACCACCACCACCGTCGGAATCTAACCCATCAGGAGGACACAACAACTCGAATAGCGAGCTATCACCGAGGGAGCAAGACAGGTTCCTTCCGATCGCGAACGTGAGTCGAATCATGAAAAAGGCTTTACCGGCGAACGCCAAGATCTCCAAGGACGCCAAGGAAACAATTCAAGAGTGCATTTCAGAGTTCATCAGCTTCATCACCGGCAACGATTTGCTCTGGGCCATGACGACACTAGGGTTTGAAGAATACGTCAAGCCATTGAAGGTGTACTTGCTGAGGTTCAGAGATATGGAAGGAAAGATATGTTGTGTCCTGTTTGGTAATTGATTCAAGTGCATTTAAAAAAAAAATTTATGAAAAAATTTGTTGCAGTTTTAATGTAGTGACCCTCACCTTACTCTTGTCATACTTGCATACATTCGTGCATGACCTTGTCTTGTTATGTTGTTTTGAAGGTTTTGCCTTGCCTTGTTTTGTTTAAAGTATTGCTTGCTTGACTTTGTTCCTTGCTCGGTGTGTAGCCGAAGTAATCTTGAGCGTAGTTCACCTCTGAACCTTTGTACTTAGAACTGTTTTGGAACCACTTGGTCGACCCCATCTTCGCCCGGGCATGTTTGCCGAGATGTTTTGCACTTAGTGATCCTTGTCCTTGGGCAGGTATGGCCAAGACCGAGGTGTGGCACACCCCGGCCAAGGTGTGGCACAACTTAGTCAAGCGTCGTCCTCCCTAGCCGATGTCTTTGTTACCCTGTTGCCGAAGCCTTGACTTCAGCCGATGTTATTTCTTGTCGATGTGTCTTGCCCTAGCTTGCTGTGTACGCTTTGTCATAGACTTGTCTTATCAATCAATCACCTTTTTGAGTTGAACCAACCCGATAGCGCCACGTGTCCGAGCTGATTGTTAAGACAGCCGGCAGACCTCGAAAAAATCATTTTGTCTCAAATCTTTGCCTTTAGAGAGAGAAGCTCTAGAGAAGGAAGGAGAAGTTCTTGAGTGAGAATAGATCTTCCAAGCTTGATCTTCGAGGTTTGAACCGTTGGATTCGAGTTTTGAGGTTAGAATCTTAACCTACTCTTGTTGTTCTTATTGATCATCTAGCTGCATTGCATGATCGAATCTATTTTGCATGTCATGCATCGATTTGAAGTTGGTTCGAAAGAGAAAAAGAGTATTCATGTGTTCTTGAAGAAAACCTTGTTTTGATCCGAAAGTTTGGAACAAGAACCATGTTTTTGTGTTTGTTCTTGCATGACCTTCTTGTAGGGGTACCCAGGTCCATGTTTTGGACTCATGGCATGAAATCTCAGATTTTTGTATCAAGTTGCGAACTTGCATTCATCTTCCTCATGATCATGTTCATCATGTTCTTCATGTTCTTTGAAGGGAAAACCCAGGCTTTTCCCGACCTTGTTTGATGAGGCCATCGGGACCACACCTCGCCAAGGAGTTGTGGGACCTCGGCAAAAACCTGATTGGTACCCGGTGTGTTTTCATGAGACGGGAGCAGTGTTTAAACTCCCAGCTTGTTTGCTTTGTTATTGACTTGGATTTGGTGAGAATGCCAAGACCATTTGCATGCATATAAAGCTCATTTTGAGAATGTGATTGCTATGTGATTGTAGGACCTTGATCCTTGCTTTGAGCCTACACCTGAAGAACTAGGTGAGTGGTGCTTTTAATAAAGCTATGTTATACTGTTTTGATAAATCTTGCTTTGCTTTGTTTTGACGAAAGTATTGTTAGCATGAATGAATAGCCCTGTTTTGATGTATCAAGTATAAGCTTTGTTTTGATGTCATCCTTGAAAAGTCCCTTGTGCGGGAGACTCTAACTTTCGCAGCACTAAGTATAAAAGGATACGGTCCTTTCTTGGAAAGATTTCGCAGCACTAAGTCTAAAAGGATACGGTCCTTTCCTGGAAGACTATTCGTGTTAAACGGGCCACGGGCCAGTAACACAAGTTCATTGGTTAAATCGGGCTACGGGCCTAAGTAACACCAGATCATCGTGTTAAAAGGAGCTACGGGCTTAAGTAACACAAGTCCCTTGTGCTGGAGGACTATAAACTTTCGCAGTACTTTTGACTAATCGATTACGGATCGTGCAGTCCTTGTTTTACCACTGACGGTTTACCGCGTGGACTTGTTTGTTCAGAAAGCTTGATTTGTGTTCTGCCGATGTCAGTAAGCATCCCTTGAGACTTGTAAGACTTGATAGATGAATACGGTTCATCCATTGTTTGGATTAAGTTTTGACGTGTTTTGTTCTGGAAGAATCTCGGCTAATATTCGTATGGTTTCTGGCATGTTTCGTTTTGAAAGACCTCGGCTATATTCATGTAAAACCTTTATTATTTGTACCATTCACTGAGTATCCAAGCTCACCCCTCTATATATATATATATAGGTGATGAGCAGGACGGCGGCGACGCCTAGATGTGTTTTGAAAGATTGTCTTGGATCCTTGCTTTTTGGTCGGCTTTGTTTTGTATTCACGTCGGCGATATCATTTCTTTTACGTCGGCGAATCTTGAAAATCATGCTTCTTGGCTTGTATTCACTGTATTTTGTATATGTCGGCTCGAGAAGCCTTTTGATCAAGATGTATGCCATTACATTGGATCTATGCACTGCTCTTATGGACCTCTTGTATGTTGATTCATTGCTTCCGCATTTGTGAGCCCCCTATATCTATACTCTGATTGTGTGTGACTTTTGGAAGATGGCCTTCGGTAATCATGGATTACTGGCCATTACGGCACCAAACTACTAGGGGCGGTTTGGGGTCGTGACAGAATGGTATCAGAGCACAAGTTCCTCAGTATACGTTATTCACACACCTTGAGTCCTAAAGAGCATAGGATTTCCCTTAGAAAGATGTTAGGGTTGCATCATGGTGCTTGCTATTTGAACGAGGTGTGCATTGTCTTGACATACCTATTTGTTACTTGCCTATGTGGTTATTTGCTTATTTGTTTTAAAGTCATACTTTGCATGCTCATAGCATTATGAGGAGAGGTAGACCTCCAATTGGCCGAGATCAGCCCGAAGACAGAATAGACAGACTGGAAAGATTAGTTGAAGGTTTGGCCCGCGAGTTGAGGCAAACAAGACAACAATACGCTAGTGCTACGTCGACTCAGGCCGAGCAGACCAACGGCCGAAATGTAGTCCCGTCCCCACCTCCTCCAGTGCCGCAAGTTCCTCCGCGGCCAGCCTTATATGGGGATGGCACGATAGCTTTGATCAGGGAGTTCAAGAAAATGAAACCACCGAGATTCTTTGGGGGTATAGAGCCCATGAAGGCTGAGGCGTGGGTTTTGGAAATGGAAAAGTTGTTCGAGATCTTTCCTAGCACCGACGCTCAGAAGGTGACGTTGGCAGCATTCACCTTAGATGATGACGCTCGAAGATGGTGGATGATGATTCGAGAAAGCAATCCAGATCTGACCTGGACTCGATTCTTAGAGTTGTTCTACAACAAACATTTTCCCCTAAGTGTTTGAAACCGCAAGGTTACCGAATTTCATACTTTGACACAAGGAAACCGAACAGTGGCGGAATACGACCGCGCTTTTACTGAATTGGCGAGGTTTGTACCTTACATGGCCAATGATGAATACATGAAGGCCAGGAAGTTCGAGAGTGGGCTTCGCGGACCGATTCAAGACCGGGTTAACTTGCACAATATGCCGACTTACGCCGAAGTGTTGGACAAAGCCATTCAGGCCGAAGCTAACCTGAATCGATACCAGAGTTCGGGAGAGAACCAACGAAAGAGACAGAACTATGACAATCGCCGAGCACAGCTGGGTACCAAGAAGAGGACGAACATGGGTAGTTCTAGTAACCTACGACAGGAAGGTAATGCTAAACCGACGTGTTCGGATTGTGGGAAGCAACATTTTGGGGTCTGTCGCCGGACATCTGGAGCCTGTTATGAATGTGGCGAAATAGGTCATTATGTGAGAGACTGCCCTAAGACAAAGGCTGATAACAACAAGAAGGGCGAGAATACCTCGGGTTCCGTCCAGAGATGAGACAGGGCAGAGCATTTGCGCTAGTACCAGGAGACACTCAGAATGCTGAAACAGTGGTGTCAGGTATGCTCCTAATCTGCTCCCAAGGTGCTTATGTGTTGATTGATTCGGGTTCAACGCATTCGTTTGTATCTGCTAAATTTGCCGAGAAGATTAATAAAGAACTAGAGCCCCTCGATTATGTGTTATCTGTGTCTACTCCACCTGGGAGATCTATGGTTGTTGTATCCATTTATAAAGCATGTGTTGTTGTGATTGAAAATGTTGAATTGCGAGTAGATTTAATGCCTCTAGACATAACTCCTTTTGATGTTATACTGGGAATGGATTGGTTAGCCGCTAATCATGCAACCATAAATTGTGTTTCGAAAAGTGTCACACTGAAACCACCAAACCTAGCCGAGGTTGTTTTCCAGGGTAAAGGGATAGTGTCCCCACCTTACTTAATTTCGTCCATTAAGGCCTACAAGTTGATTCAAAAAGGGTGTCGAGGCTACTTGTGTAGTATACTGAACGATCAGAATGGAGACGTTAATTTAGCCGACGTCCCAGTTGTTAGTGAATTCCCCGATGTCTTCCCGAACGAATTGCTGGGCCACTTGATCGATAGAGAGATAGAGTTTACTGTTGATATTATGTCGGGAACACAGCCGATCTCCAAAACGCCCCATAGGATGGCCCCTGTTGAACTTAGAGAATTGAAACTGCAATTACAGGAATTATTGGATAAGGGATTTATTAGGCCGAGCACTTCACCATGGGGAGCACCTGTTTTATTTGTTAAGAAAAAGGATGGCACACTCCGCCTTTGCATTGATTATAGAGAACTTAATAAAGTCACTATCAAGAACAAGTACCCATTACCTAGGATTGATGATCTACTTGACCAATTATAAGGAGCACGAGTCTTTTCTAAGATCGACCTTAGGTCTGGTTAACACCAACTTAGATGTTGAGAAAACTGCTTTTCGGACAAGATATGGCCACTACGAGTTTTTAGTAATGCCTTTTGGAGTGACCAATGCCCCTACTGCATTTATGGATTTAATGAACAGAGTCTTCAAGCCATATTTAGATGAGTTTGTAGTTGTCTTCATTGATGATATATTGATCTATTCCAAGAGTAAAACTGAACATGAAAATCATTTGAGACTTGCCTTACAGATTTTGAGAGAGCGGAAGTTGTATGCTAAGTTTAACAAGTGTGAGTTTTGGCTTCCTACTATCTCATTCTTAGGTCATGTGATTAGTGAAGAGGGTATCTCAGTTGATCCTAGCAAAATCGAAGCCGTAGTAAATTGGCCGAGGCCGACTAATGT